GTAGTATTATGGGACCCTTACTCTTCCTAATATAATAATGACATGCTCAAAACATCCCATCACCCAATAAATGGTACTCTATGTGGACGATTGGACGAAGGGAATAAAAAAAAATGTGATCACTAAACATCGATGACTTTTTGTCTTTCTGTATCCATATTCTCATAAACAGACTCGCCCGTAGAATGGCGAATTGGCAATCATCGACACGTCTTACGCAGTACACCACAAAATGTAACGACATTTGCACCTTACAAGGATGTCCATTGACTCTCCAGCTAGCAGATTGTAGGTACTCGCTAAATGCTGTGCAAATAATGACAGTAATATTTTACGAGGACAGTATTTACTTTTCATTATCATCTTAGGACTAGGGTGTGGCTGTTAGAGTTTTAGGAATACACAGTTATGCACATCGATCTAATATCTACTACTTGATGTCTCAGAACCCGCCTAAAAAGGCGACTTGGAGACAGTTTATGAAATTGTAAGGAGTGAAGGGAACCCCGATGGATTATGGCATGCATTCGACATGTATCACCAAGGTGGTGGGTAGATGAGGTGTTTATCTTGCTTGCCTGGTAACATGCTGTTTAAAAATAACATTAAGTTGTTAAATTATTATGTTTCATTTAATAAGAAATGGTTTAAAACATTTGTTCAGATTGATTGCTTGTACCTATACCTAATCGAGGATCTCTGCTACGCGAATGTTTCCATATAGGATCGGGGTTGTGAACTTGGTGCCGCTCATGACATAAATGCAGCATATTGCTTCTTTTCCTTATTGTTTAAGTTTGCTCTGGTTCTGCACTTAACAGAATGGCACCACGCCTTTATTGAAAATCTAGATTATTTGTACGGAATATCGTTAGCACAACGATGATTTCTATCCGAAACGTATTATAGCTGGCGTGAGTACTTATAAAAGAGCGGTAAACATTATATGTTACCTTGTGCTTGATTGATTTCCTGCCTCAAGAGGAAAGTGAAGCTATTAAATGTAATTACTCAGTGACATTCAGAAACGACTGCATAATTAGTGCAGGAAAAAATATTAAAAAATATTGCGCAAGTTGCGGTTGACCCCACATTGCGGTTCGTTGAATTGCGACTGGGGTCAAATGAAACTAATTATAATCTAAGATTGAGTTACTAATCGTATGTTGATTACGACAGCAGCTATGATATCCTTGTTAGAAAAACGTCTCTCACCTATGAGGGAGAAACGAATTTGATTTCCATAGGGAAGATTGCATCAATTACATTTTCCTTGGCGCTTTTTAACGCGGTATGTTTGATACTGATGCTTGTTGGTAACATACTGTACAAACACATGACATACGCTGTAATGATAAGTAATGTTTCCCGTATACCAAATTCCTATTTCCCTACAACTACCGCGGTTGCTGTCCGCTCCTTCCTCCTGCTCAAGGGAACCTTACTCTTGTAGTTAATATGGTATCGCAAATTATATTTATATTACCGGGTTAGTGTTACAACGTATTAAGAGACCCCCTGCACTAGCGTCTTTCGAGCGTCAGCGTCTTGCCAACACACGCACAGCGTCGACACGACTAGTGCCGACCGTCGGGTATGCACCGCTAATGTGGGGGGTCTCTTAGAATGAAGTAAAAGTATAAGATGATCGAATGACGAATTCTGAAATCCGAAGACGAATTAAAGTCACAAACAGGAGATTTTAATATGGAGCTGGCATGACATATTGCGAGACGTGGTGAAGACTAAAGCGATAATCAAATGATGGCCAAGAAATGGTTATAAAAACGTGAGACGTAGCGCGATAGGTGGACGACGTCGTCAAACTTGCGGGCTATAAATGGCTGAGACTTGTACAGGATCGTTGTGAATAGCACTAACTACAGGTGGCTTACATCCAGTAGTGGGTGAGTCGAGCTGCGGATGATCATGATAAAATGACCTTTCCTATAAGTAAACACGATATTCAACAATGTATGAGTGTGCACAACATACGCTGTAGTGTTATTTATTGTGGCCAAGGCGCCGTGACATGACTCAAACGGTTTCACATTGTTATTCATCTTCAATATTTTTTAATTTATGTTAGAACATCACCGGCGACGATAAAACAATTTCTTATGCTTCCTGGAATGAGCAGAGTTGAGGATTCAATCTGTACCGTTGTCTCCATTACATCGATCACCGGGGGACGTTGGGACGATATTTCCCGTTATCCCGATACCGGGGCAGACCTACCGGGGACATGGGGAGTAGTTCAAATCCTTTAAAGAAAGAATTTTGACAATTTGTAATTGTAACATCATCATTGTTTTTATAACCCGGCAGCCAAGTGTTATGAAAACATATTGCAGTACAAAGAACCAAAAGTAACACAGTTGGCATTCGATGGTTCTTAACACGTACGAATTAATGTTCACTTTCACCTGTTATATATCGCGGCAAGAACATTAATGTGCTCTAATTAATACATAAAATCGGTACCAATATTCCTTTTGTGTTCTAATATAAAGCAACAAAGCAAATGAATAAATATTATATAATATTTATTTATGTGTAATGTGAAATATTGTGTTATGTAATATTGTGAAATCATCTGTAGGGCTAGCACGATTAGGCGCGACTTGCGCGAATATAACATCTCGCGCTTTATGTCGCTCTCGCGCTAGTCGCGCCCTATCGTGCTAGCGTGCCAACCCTACTGTACTATGCGTGCTAGATAGATATATGGAATACACTCTGACATTAATTATCCTAAACCCCCAAACCGGAAACTAATCTAGAACAATCTCAGTACAGAGTACTAAAGAAACCGACCTGAAACGTTCTTGGAATTACATCTATTTGCCAAGCTTTTTTGGAATCGGTTACCGGAAAGTTCGCCAAAACGGATTCATCCTCTAGTTTGCCACCATTAGAGGTGGATATTTTCTTCAAATTTAAATAGAACCAATACTGAGGTAGGCTCTTTCCAACTAAAACGAATCATCCAAATCGGTTCACAAATATCGGAGTTATCGCGTAACGTACATACAAAAAAAACACATACAGATGGTTAAAAATCATTTCCCAAATTGGTTCCCATCAGTGTTAAAGACACCGAGGTCGTAAAACATTAAGTGCAGGATATTTTTTTTCATATTTCGACTAAAATTATTTTTGTCCTAACTGAGCACATTTTTTGACCGAGCAACGGGACGAATAAGACATGCTCAGTAAGCATGTGGTGGTAAGCGAGGCGCCTGTCCATGACACTGGAAGAGTCGCTCAGAGAGAGAGACAACTAAAAGAAGTCTATGGACGTCAGGACCCTTCCCGTATAACGAAGAGGTTGATAGGAAGGGTCACTATAAACAAAACTTACGTCGAAAGGTATGGGAATGTTCTTTTTAGTTGTTGGAGTTTGAAATAAATTACAGCCTTATAATGATAATGGACCCACAAAACCACAACAATGATTCAAATGAAACAATTCCCAGTAAGTACTACGACCACCGGAACGAAAAATTAACTTTGGAATACGAATCAAAACACATAATATGGAAAAAATTAAGTTTCCCAAAATAGTCTTACGGAGAATTGGCCCCGGGGACCTCAATTAAAATCTATAATGCTAACCGATGGCCACCAAATTACATGTGGTTTTATTGTTGGTGCAATACAAGGGAATTTTCGTTGTTTCCGGAATGTGAAAAGTCTGGTTCTTTTTTATGTTCTTTGATTATTTGAATAATGCACACTGTATTAAATAAAAACTTTATTCTTCAACGGAAAACATACAACATAACAAATGTGTTTTGCATTTTGCAAAAATTAATTGCAGTAATTCTCCTTGTGAAAGAGTTCATCCAGGGTACTACTGCCATTAACCACCACGTTCGCAACTTTTTCATCAGGCCATTTGGTATCATGAAAAAAAATCATTAATTACAACTTTTGTTCTACGACTTTTACAAAAGATAATAAATTTACCAAAAATAAACTTTTACGTTTTTGGGTATTTGCGTTAGCGGTTTCTTTTGTTACTGTACAGCGTTATCACACATTTTTATACGAAAGTAATATGTGACGAATAAATAAAAATCATGAAACAAACGTTGTTGTTTATGATGTTAGCAAAATAGCCCTGCACCACCAACAACCTCGTTAGTATTTTACAAATGACTCTTGTGTATGCTCTACTGAGATGCGACCATTCTTTCACTGCGCGAGCGCCGCTATAATTGACAACTTGATATATTTTAGTAGCAGTAGAGCACCTTGTGAAAGAGGTCGTCCAGGGAAGTACTGCCACCTTACATATTTCTGCCGCCAAGCAGTAACGTCAGCATTACTGTGTTCCGATTTTGAACTGTAAGGGTGCTGAGGAAATTACAGGCACATAGGACTTGACAACTTATGTCTCAGAGTGACGGGTGCAGTGACAGTACTACTGAGGTCTTTGATCATCAGACGCATGATTTATTCGTCCCGTAACTTGATATTGTAAAGAAAAAATTGTTAAATTTAAACTCAGGCAACTTGAACAAAACTATTGTAATCTATATAGTAATCAACTAGATGCAGACTACCTACTTATTAAGGCGCGGAAACATTTTGCAAAAAAAATGTAACTCAAAAAAGCAGCGCAAACTCATTTCCAAATTACATAAAGCATATTATAACTGGACATTGTGATTGTGACACAACAACATAATACTTGTAGTACAATTATGTGAATCGTTAAGAATTCGCACTCGTTACTTAACAACACAAACTTTAGTTCTTATAATAATGTCAATTATGTAATTTGTAATATCTTTGCGTTGTGTAAATGTAGTGGTAAACTTTCCTTCAAAGTTACTCATTCGAACTCTGTAAGGATTATTTCATCAGAATTCACAATACTCAATGTATATTTACTTCAATTTCATATAATATAGTCGTATAAGACAGTCCTCTTCACAAAGTCTCAAATTCATTCAAAAGGGCAATGTTTTCGCTTCTGTAATAAGATTCCGATTGATATTCAAACTTTGCCATTTACGAGGCTTAAAACTACAGTGAAACAAAAACTTTATACTAAAGGTTATTTAGAACATCTGCGTACTTAGTTGACGAAAATCCGTGACCCGTTTAGCTCTTCCAGGTGTTCTTGATGTAAGTTTAAATTGAATATTGTAATAATAAATGTATTCGAATGTATATTTACAAAGAGCAACCCCTTACGAATGAGCAGTAGAGTTTAATCAGTATGACGATTTCAAGTGTATATTTCTTACCTATGAAATAAACAATATTTGACTTTGACCTTTATGTGAAATTCCGGAATGATTGAAAATAAAAAGCAAAAAATATTTTCGTTTTTACTTGCAATTACGGGACTTTCATTCTACATACACTTAACGGAAATCCAATAAAACGTATTCATCCCCTAATTTGCCACCCTAAGAGATGAAATATTATCTTCGAATTTGAATCGGACCACTACTAAGGCAGTCAAAATCGTTTCTCAATTAATGTAGGAGTAATTGCGTATCATACACGCTGAAAATAAATTGCAATCGAATTAAGACCCTCATCCTTGTGATGAAGTGGGTTAAAAATAAAATAATTACAGGATTATAGAGGGAGGTTTTATATTTAACCTATGCGTGCAATATGATCTTCTAAATAACATTAATCACAATTGAAGCACAGCCTAGTGGTCAGAACCCTTACCTCCTATCTGCTTCTATGCTCTATGACAAGATGCGCGGGGCGCGAAACAGAGAATGGATGTGCTGCAGTATTATTAATATTTTTATTTTAGCATCAGTGTAAAACCATGTGTTCATTCAATGTTTTTAGTGACAATCTGTGACGGCTACTATGTTCCGTGTCACGTGTGTTCTGTTGCCGGATCCGCTGAAAGCTTAAAACGTCGTAGCAGTTTAAGTGAGACGACAACACGCTGAGTTGACCATGGTTTCCTTGGCAGCACAGCACACTCGCTTTGTACTCTATATATGTATTTAGTTCCAAGTTCTTGTTGTTATTTTCATTATCAGTATTATTATTATAAAATGAATGTACTGTGTTGATTATTCAAATAATAAATGACTTCTATTTCTATTTCTGTTGACGCATCGTAACCCTTGGTGGCAGAAAATCAATGCTTCGCTTTTCGTCAATACACACTAAGACTGACTTATTTGGCCTGCTGCAGCACATACAAGCTGTTGATCACCATCCGTTAGGCGTATGCTTGCTTTGTTGCTATGCTTTTAATTTTTTTTTCTTTTCAATTTAATTTCTTGTTGTCAGTTTCTTTATTCCAACGGTTAATTTTTTTTATACAAAATATTGCGGATTTCACCTCAATCTCTCCTAATGGAAAGTGACGATAAGATCGACGAAGTAGCATGCACACTTAAATAATGTCGCTTGCCTTATAAATGTGGACGCGAAACCCTTCATGCGAATCCTGGGAATATCCACAACATAGGGATGACGCCCAGTCTAGTCCCCCGATGATGGAAAGGGGAAGGCGGAATCAAATCGTGCAATTCCATCACACACTCTCCGCGATAGATCCTGTAGAATACCGATAAGCAGGCAACTTTACGACGTTGTTCAAGACTCTGCAGCTTCGCCTCTACTAAATCCAAATATTACTATCTAATCTGCTAAATACAAATATAATTTTAATTTTTGTGTTTTTGTTTTTTAACAAATTAAGTTTTATGTATCTATCTAGGAGGTGTTGAGTTAAATACTCGAGTGCCCGCGCCACTGCGTCATTTTTCATTGCGCAGTTTAGTCAATCAATTTTATTGTCATTTAGTTTATTGGCTAAGCAAAAACATAGAGCTGAAAGTTGTATATCGATAAAGTTTCGTATAATTCTTCGAAGACATTTGCAGTTTTTAACCTGCATTAGGCCAGCGTGGAAGGACAATGGCCTAAATCTATTCCTCTAGGAGGTATAGGATGATTTTCCTCTAGAGTCACCTTGTCAGCAGTTCTTAAAAACAAATTTTTGCATGCTTCCTCAAAGACGTCGTAATCTGTGCTGCTCCTTATTTGGCATAATTGCCCATTGTACTCGGAATATATTGCTAACATTACTGGTCACTGGCGTTTTGATAGTTCGATTGTTCTGGGCGTTCTTATAATTTATTTTTGCAAGACGTATTATATGTTTCGTGTTTCAGGTTTGTTACTCCGGTTCTTGATACGGCATGTGTTACAATTGCAATATCCAGTGCCCTAATCATCTTAAGTACCACTTCGCTGTTGTGCTTTATATCTAAAACATACTTATCATCACACTGCTGCGCTCCTGACAAACCTCTTTCGCCTGCTTCGCTCGTGTAAGCCTTTTATTAACAAGTCATGCCCCTGGTGGTAAGCGACACGCCTATCACAGCCACTCAGAGCTTTAAATCGCAAAGATCTGAGGGGCACTACCACTAGTCTGTAATTTCAGTAGTATCCGTACCCTTCAAAAGTGCAACGCTGTAAATTACTGCTTGGCGGCAGAAATAGGTAAGGCAGTACTTCCCTGGACGAACTATTTTACAAGGAGGTTTAACTGTTTCTACATATACACGCGGTATTTTCTTGGTTCTTTAACTGGCCTTTTTTGTGGATATCCCCAATCTGATCAAGATGTGTACCTACATTGAAATCTACTCCTCCCTACGTTTTCACTCTAAATCTAGGTCTAACATTTGATCTTATTGCCCTTTTTAATGCTAAAGTTCTCTGAACTTGTTCCCCAATAAATACAAATTGGACCCAGCCGTGGGTAAAATCGGAGTAAAGGGTAATGATTTTGGACCTATTAATAGGAGAAAAATAGCGTGAGTGAATGTAAGCATGTTCCATTGTAATCGATAAAAAAAATAGCATAAGGAATTTAAAGAAATACAGATTTTTCCACAGTAGTCACTTTTTTCTGGCAGATGTTTACAGTGTATATTATCCCGTTTTCTACGATACCTATAAAAGCTACGGAGCTTCAAATGATTCAAACTACGTTATAAAAGAACACATAAACACACACTCACTCTGTCTACTAGAAAGTCCGGAAGATTCCATCCTTATATCATTGACTTTACCATCCATTCGTACGAAGCGCTTTGTTTCGGTCTTCCTGTTGTGTTCCCCGAGAAGAACGATTTGAGGCTATTCAAGGCGAAAATTTCAAACATTTGTTAACAACACCACACAATGTGGAAAAATGATAGGATCTTTTATAATAAATAATATTTAAATGATATTATTTGTTCCACAGACATGGCAGAAGAGACAGCAGGCGGTGTGCGTGAGACACGCATTCAAGCACTTCGGCTCCAAGAAGAGGCCAAACCACGTGCTGAGCAATTTGAACATGACCGTTGCCAAAGGGACTATGTAAGTATATTTTATATTGATATTAAGTAAACGACACAAAATCAGATCTTTAAACGGTAGTTTTTAAATCACAAATTGACAAGTCCCATGTGCCTGTAGTTTCTGCAAAACCCTTCAAAACTGGAACGCAGCAATGCACACCTTTCGGCAGAAATGGGTAAAGAGGCAGTACTTCCCTGGACGAACTCTTTCACACGGAGCTCTACTTCTATCATTATTTAGAGCAACGTGTTTGGTGAAAAAGAATTATTAGCATCACAGCATGGAAGTTTGAATTGAGCTACGTGAAAAAAAAGTTTTGCTGTAAGAATTGCAAGTTCCTTCCATTCATGATATAAGGGTGCGCTAGCGTTTTTGCAGTCTGATTTCACATCACATTGCCTTCATATTCACACACTGGCTTTTACCTATTCTTAAAGTAAAGCATCCAAATTAACACCCTTGACAAGACATTTAAAAGACATAGCCATTTTCTGAATAATCACTCTTTATAAGGTACGAGTTTGAGAAAGAAAGGCATTGAATGGGAAGCACAACATGTCTCATTACAAACTATTTCACAAATAGAGTGAAAGAAAAAAATTCATATATAAAAATAAAAATGAAAACTTAACTAAATAATTAATGTAACGAATAATAATTAACGCAAGCCGTCATCCACTCAGCATATATTGTCTCTTTGAAGGTGGCTACGTCGCTGTTTTTCAGTGAATCCGGTAACACATTGTACGGAACATAGCAAATTTATAACTAGGTTACGTAGTCATAAGCACTATTTCAACACAAAACAATTTTATGAAAGAAGCCATCGGCGGCACGGCAGGCCGATGTAACAATGGCGGGTTGACCTGTTGATGACCAGCACTGGGACTGCAAACTAATTAAAAAAAAATCAAATATATTCACTAAAAAATTTACAATCATTATGATAATGATATAGAGTTATTTTCATTCGTCTTAATAGTACAGGAAAATCTGTGCATTGAAACTAGACAATTTGTGTAATTAATTACCACGTTATCATCATGTAATAGCCTTTTTAACTGATATTGCTAATAAATAGAGCTATCGACAATTCCACATTCTGTGGCAGCATGTATTATGCTATGAATTTCCAAGTTACGTATAATTGTGAATATAATAGCCATCAGAGATGGGGAGTGGGTTAAATCGAATTACCAAAGTATCGTAGTATTTTAATTTTATATCATTGTATCCTAATGTTAATCTTAGCTTGTGGATGTTTTGATAAGCTCTGTGAGACTAAATAAATCTGTGTAAATTTCTGCCTAAAACAGTGGGCGGAAAGAGCGAATACGGAATTTGGTATAATTCCATACTTATTACAAATTTCGATATACAGAACCATTTTTAGGCGACTCCACACAATACCTACCTTGCAATCCTGTGAATTCTTGCTATTAAGAGCGTTTGTGCACGACGTCTCCGTCCGACATCCGTCCGAAACAATTACTGCCAAATAAGCAATACTTGACCAAATGAAAAGACGCGTGTTGCGAATGAAGCTTCATTCTTGATACTTGGCTTTTAATTTTGTCGAATATTACTTATTTGACAGTAATTGTTTCGGACGGATGTCGGACGGAGGTCGAGAGTAGACCCCCAGTTCCGAATCCGACAAATGACGGTACGATATGTCGCAGGGATCATTTTATCTCTAGGTGTATAAGCGATAGTCGTATTTTCGCGGATTGGAATCGGACTTAGTGCACAAGCTACATCCGAAGTGGGTCCGAGTTTCCTAGAATTGTATTGTCTCGGATTCGGAACGAATAAGAATTTTATGCCTTAACGATTTTTTTATTGTTTTATTTCAATCCGATTTTCAATAGAAAGGGAAATCGAATCGTCTAAATCAGAAAGCAATAAACATTTTGTAATAACAAAAACTTGATATACAACAAATATTTAGTTGGAAGTAGTTTTAGCATCATATTAAAACATGGGCGTCTGCCCATCTCTAATTGCAATACAGTGAAGGAAAACGTCTCGATGAAACCTGCACTTTGAAAATGGTTCACAACCCCTGGAAAGTTTTTGATATGGCTCTATATAGTCGTCGTAGAGAGGTTACAGGAAATCCATGCCTAGCAGTTATGATGATTACTAATAAATGAATCACAATCCAATCCTCACGTATAAAGGAAGCTGGCATTATGCCACCGGTCACTACACATAGCCGACAAGGACAGACAAACAAAAGATTATTAACCTCTGACGTTTATTAAAAACTGCCTATTGTCTTCTGCTGTTGGAACGTTCGATCGCTGTAGAGTGGGCTTGCAGGCACTAGTATATTTATGTAGTATTTTTGAACACCTGTTAACTAGACAAACTTAGTATCTGGAATGTTAATTACTCAGAGCCTCTCCTGCCAGATCCGAATTTGTATAAAGAATTTAAGTAAGGAGCTTTTGAAGTTTCTGTGCAGTATTTTAGTTGTTACCTTGAGCTAGTTTCATGTTTTGTATCAGACTTAAGTGTTTAACTCAAAAACCAAGCTAGCAGTCAGCGTGAGATGTAAAATCATATCTGTTTTTGAAGTCCATACTTGAAGATCGGGCATTAAAACCACGAATTGGCTTCGTATTTGTCTTACTGAATTTTTAAAAGCGTTGCTCTCCGCAATGACACAGCCGGCCGGGGTCACGGACCTAGGTTCAAGAACCGTTGAACAATACGTACCATATCGAGCAGCATCGCTAATTGAGATACTTCCGACGATTCTCGGTTTCGTCTTTCATGAGGTCTTCATCATTTACCAAAGGTAACATCCGCTAGGAACAACCTCAACTACGCCCGGTCCAATATCACAATTAGACATATTCGCAATAATAGCCATGTGATTTATTTATTGAAAAATTCGCCATTAACTTAACACGAAACAATCTCAGAAAGCAAATGCACACATTTACTACGTGCTAAGTGACTATATAGCACTAAAAATATTAGAATTCATTAACGAAATACAAACTTGTAAAATTACAACAAGGGATGCAAACATTAATAGATCACAAAACCTTTCACAACATTTTAAAACATTTCAAATAATTTCACAATATTTTAAAAATACAGTCCAGTCTTTAATAAATGAAATACCTATGTCAATGTCTCCGATCGCAGAAGTATCGGCTCTAATCGACATAGTCATTTTTAATATTAGCTCGTTTGAACAATTGTAATAATGTATCTTCTGTTGTACGCATCTGTCCGTCACATAGAACATAAACAAAAAAAAACATTTTAATATTCTGTCTGTCACGAAGTCATTTAGGTATTCACGTTGTCAGACAAAATGTGATTTCTTCAAGTCCAAGGACGTAAGTTACAATTTGGAGGAAGTTATCCACATCACTCAACAAATACCCAGATAAAAAGTAATAATAATAATGAAAATAATAAAAATATAAAGTTTACATATTAATAAACCCTAATTATAATTATTAATACAAAGATCGTATACTTAGATTAGAATTAGACTTAGAATCCGACCGGATCGAAGGAATTTTATCTAAGTGTTCGATCTTTGTATTAATTATTATAACAAACTAGTGGAGCAATTTCACAATAAATAATAGAATATCAATGCAATACAAATTTAATGACATCCTAATTATTCATTAAATGTGCTGAAATGTAGTGCATTGTATTGATTAAATATTTTGTGAAAGATAAAACAAGATACAATGAAAATAAAGTATTAAGCTGTAGAAATACGCAATTTACATTTAAATTTATAGAAAGAATCTTAACTTAACTACCTTAGGTCCTATATTACGGATCGCCAAGCTCCTTGTTATTGAGCCTCTTATAAATATCACCTGCTGCTTAGTACCAGAAAACTAGTACGACTATTACAACAACTCTATATTCTGTTGTCGCAGCAATAATTGAACTAATTGACTAGTGACGTTTATAGTCGTGTGGAATATTTTATTTGATAACATTTTGTCCACGATGGCGGGTAGATTGTTCTAGTGATTTATTTGTTTTTCTGACTGCACGAATGTAAATTTCAAAAGTATTTGTGAATGATTTCGTCCAGGGAAGTACTGCCTCCTTACTAGTATTTTTTTTATAATTAGACAGTAAGTTGGAATATATAGGTACAATAAAGGCTTAAATACTAGAAACTAGGATTAAATTCTAAAATTGAATTCCCGCAGCAAGGTGCCCAAGATGCTGGCAGCCTTTATGTAGCTATGCGTTGGGCAAAGTAGCTACCGGCGCTTGGGTTTCTGATTTGATCTGGGAATTTTGATTCTGAATACAAAGATAGAACATATAGAAAAATGTTTCCGACCCGATGGGACTTGGACCCACGGCCTTCTGAGAGATTTTTAGAAGGTTCTAAAATATCGCACTAGATGTCACTTGCGGCACAGAACGCCAAAAAAATCCAGTGCAAAGATCTTAAACAAAAACACATTGAAGAATTTCGACAACTCGTTACTTGACCCGCAGCTCAGTTGGTAAGAGCAATACGACGGTGCAGTATGGTCGGGGGTTCATGTCCCATCGGGTCGTAAAAGTTTTTCTATGTGTTCGATCTTTATTTATCATAATAAAAACTAGTGGCGTTATTTCACAAAATATCTCAAATAATACTGTCTATTAATGTTTTACTTCTCCATTATATTTCTAGTTAAACTAACTTGTTACTAACGTAAACGTAACCACGGAGATACGGAATACTTTTTGTTAAAACAGTATTCAATTTTTATATAATATAAATGTTGTATAGAATATAGTATAAATGTATACCAGGTAATAATGGTCAGCACAAAATGTTCCCTCCATAAGTCCATAGATGATGATTTTCAAGTCATGTTAGAAGACAGGACTTGTCAACATATGTCTCAGGGTGACGGGCGCAGTAGCACTGTCCCTCATATCTTTACGATTTAAAGTTCTGAGTGGCTCAGCAACTGCTATGGGCAGGCGTGTCGCTTACCATCAGGCGTACGCCGTGTTTGTCC